GGAAAACTAATATACTAATTTACTTCAAAGGAGTTTCTTTTGATTCGTTTAAAATATGGTATTAATATCACTGTGCAACAAAATGCATACAAGTCCTTTCATTTTAATTTCAACCCACAGATTTTTTCATCATATATAAGTAGGCACCTTTTCCGTTTCTAGAAATACTAAAATCAATACAAACCGATACWGCTACACTATTTATATAACTACTTAACAAAGTTTTGAGTTGTGACACAAATACTTTGACACCGTCAWTTTCTTCGATGGCAGAATTAAATATTTATAAAACTTAGATATTTATGCATTATTATCTCTCCTCCTTTTTTTTTTTACTTACCTATCCATAATTATTTGAGCCAATAGTCCTTGCAAACACATACCAATAAATAATAAACCATTTAAACTATGTAGGTAGATATTTGATATATATTTATAAGTAGGTATTCTGCCAAACTTTAATAATTAAATATTTATTAAATTATTATTATATTTCATTTTTAAGCGCAGTTATGTTTAAAATACACACTTGTATCATCTTTTTAAATATTAAATACATTTTTTTTTATTTGATTTATAAAATTACCAAAAGGGATATTCATATAGTTTATTTAGTTTATATTAAGCCATTTGACAATTATGTATTTTAGTAGGTTATTATACGTAGGAAAATTATTATTTAAACAAATTACATCATATAGGTTCTATTATTAAACAAGAATAACATATACGTTTTTTTAGTTTAAGAACTTAATTTATTTAAAATTAATGAAGATTTAGCTGAAAAAAAAACATTTTAAAGAAGTTATTTTTTTTCTTCACGAAAAATAATAGAAAATCTTATGACAATTTATATTGTAAATTTCCTATAAATATTACATTTTGAGCACATTATAATAATATTATTGTAAAAATGAACTGCTAAAATGGCCAAATTATTATAGCAGTAATTGGACCATGAATAATAACCAATCTGTTATACACATGTTATACACATTATGCAACACCTACACATTAATTCATACAATTATAAATTAACGTACACAAAATAATTGTAACGAAATAACAAAAAATGATCAAAATAATAAATTCACTATCTAATGAACTAATGTCTAATAATATGTAGTGTGCTATAGTTATTTAAAGTAACTATATAAATATTTTGGCTGAACGGCCTTTAATTTGATTCAGGGTTTATTTTATAAACAACTTAAGAACATGTTTACATARCTAATTTTCAATTTTTTCTAGCTCAAATTAAAGTAAAAGATAATTTCCAACTTTGGTTTATAAGTTTTTTCTTATCTTAAATATTAATTGATTGGGAGTGAGTTAAAACTTAGGCAAATCATACAAAATCACTTGAAGATTTTATAAAAAAAAAWTCAATTAATTAATAAACTATCATATTATATACAATATGTATAYAATTTTTAAGAACATTGCATTTTTATTATTATTCACATTATAATAAATTATTAATTTTGTTCATTGTATAAGATTTTTTCAACTTTAAATTTGTAAATATGGTCTTTAGATAAGCTTAAAATTCTAAAACTCAGAATTTGAATAAATGTTCTATTAAAGGGAAAAACGGGGTAAGAATACTTGTAAAATCACCTTGTATATAGTTAAAAAATAAATACTTATATTAAGAATGTATCTAAGATTTTTAATCACAGGTGAGTCTGGATCAGGAAAAACAGAAGCATCTAAAAAAGTTCTGGAATTTATTGCAAAGACAACACACGGTGACCATATTATTCAGATGATAAAAGATAAACTYCTTGTAGCAAATTTAGTTTTGGAGGCATTTGGTAATGCAAAAACTTGTAATAATGATAATTCTAGTCGGTTCGGAAAATATATGGACGTGGAATTCAACCATATGGCAAGTTAAAAATAAAATAAAAGTCTTTGTGTATCATAATGTTTGCATAACCAATAACAGGAATTTAATGCCAATTTGATTAGTCTTATATAAACTTTTGGGGGCTGAAGGAGAAGTATAGGCAAATAGTTYCTTCTCCGGTCCTCGGTACCATAAGGGAAAAAATGTCTTATATACCTAATCCTAGATCCCCTAATATATACAATTAGTATACAACCATAATAATCGTAGTTATTCTAAAATACATAATATACACCTACCAATATAACAATCGTTCATGTTTAAAACCACCTTTTTACTTGCTTTTAAGCAAATTTTTAATAAAGAACTATTATTGGACTTCATATAGGGTCAACCAATAGGTGGTAATATTCTAAACTATTTACTTGAAAAGTCAAGAGTGGTAAAACAGGCTCAAAATGAAAGAAACTATCATATATTCTATCAACTGATCAATGGAGCTGATGAATGCCTAGCCGAATTCTTAGCGATTGACAAGGACGTTGATTATTTATATTTGAGAAAGGACAAGACTGACAATGATAGTTTCGAAGATGAAGTTTGTTGGGCTTATTCTAAATGCATGATTATTTTATTTAAATCTTGACTTTAATTTTWTAGGCTATTAACGAAGATTCCAAAAAATATAAAGAAACTTTACATGCTCTCCAAATTCTAGAATTTGATCTGGAGGAAAAAATGGATATACTGAAAATTGTCGCTAGTATTTTGCACTTGGGTAATATAAAAGTT